ACTACAATGGCATATGAGTTAAGACTGAGCCACTATTATTAAAAATAAGACAACTTCGGAATGATCTTAGATGGTATTGAGAGGAACATGACATTCCTTTCCCCGTATGCCCTTCCTCCCCAATCATCCAGACCCATCATCTTTCAAGGCCCACTCATAAAATCATCCTGGATCCCCACAGCTGGAGTTAATCTCACCTCCTTCGAACACTTAGAGCACTTTATTTGTTTACTTGATCTGCAGCTGTTTATATACTTGTCTTATTTCCTAAAGGACTGTAAGCTCTTTGAGGACAGGGTCCATGACGAATTCATTTTTGTATCCTTTAATATCGCACCTCATAGACACTCAGTAAACCTCCAATGAATGAATGGAACATGATTCTCCCACCATGCAAGAAATTTGAGTCTAAGCTGCCTCCATATTCTCAGACATAAGCAAAAGAATTGGAACAGATTCAGAAGAGAACAATAAAACAAAATGACTAAAAAGTGGGAGAAACAGAATTTGCATTCAGAAACAAAAGTTCAAGGAATTCAGCCTAAAGTGGCCTTTGGGAAGTGATATCATAGGGACCTTCGAATATATTAAGGAGACAACACTCAAAGAAGAGGCCTGAAGTTCTTTCATTGAACCAAAACAAAATACAACTCAGATTTTAACAGGGCAATGGGGCACGCTGAAGAACTATAGATATCGGGGTGGTGTGATCAAAGGTAGAGGTAGATGCCATGCTTTCTTCCATCCCTATGTGTACATAAGTATACGCTAACAATGGGGCCTGTGGTACAGCATTTTTGCAAAATTACTTGTGAAACAATTGCAAGCTTTTAAGATTTTTTCCCCCTAAGATGCTAAAACCCGTTTTAAAGGAGAAAGGGATTTAGTTCAGGAAGGAATGGGAGACTCAAGTATGAGACTTGGCTAACAAGCAAAATGGGACCAACCCAGAGAGAGAGAGAGAGAGAGAAAGAGAGACAGCCTTTGATGTCCTGACGATCAAGGACCATGGCTTAAGGACCAGACTCTTAAATCACGTGTCATTTACTGCCTCAGATAAAAAATACTTTTCTGGATCAGTGTCTGTAGTTCAAAATGGCTAGGTTCCAAAATCAGTCTTAACTTTCCAAGGGTAACTTTTGGAAGGTTTCCTGCAAGAACAGAGCGGAGCCAGTTCTGAGAAGGGGCAGCTTAATGATTTTCTACTACCCCCACCCCCAAATCATTAAACAGTGTTCCTTTCCCAGAGCCCAAGTTCATGCTGAGGGCAAAGGGAATTAAATGAAGAAGCTGAACCTGCAGCTAAGATTAGAGAGTTGCCAAGGGCCTAATTTTAGGTCCTAGCTGCTCCAGCTGACGTCCTGCCCTGCTGGCTCAGCCACGAGGACCACAAGTGTGGCCATAAGCCGATGTCTGAGTGGGAAGAGAGACTCCTTGGCCATCTGCAAAAGCAATTAGCTTGCCGTTGGCTGTGTTTTGAGAGGGACTACCAATAATTTCTCCTTCAACAAGTGTTTCTTCAGGTGTTCACGAGTCAATGAGGGAAAATGTCAGAACTTGGCAGAAGTTCCCACACGCTTGCCATTCTAATATTCACACTTTTCCACTTCAGGTGCTGTCCAAAAGGAAACTAATCCTGGAATTCCTGGTTTTCATGGCAAATAACCCCCTGATAAATGCCCTTTGACTCTAAGCATACTGCCCCAACCTAGGGAAAGTGTTGTTCGGGACTTCTCAGCGTCATGAAAATAGAGATGGACTGGAACAATTCTTTCATTTTGTGTGGAATTTCTATGCCGCTCCTGCACTGGGATTTAGGCTGTCCTTCCACTCTCCACGTATTTACCAGTCCCAGGCTTTATGCTTTAATTATCTTCTTTAGAGGGCAGACAATAAGAGCTGGCATCTTCCAGATCAAAGGGGAAACAGAATGTATCTTAAAGTGACAACTCTGTTATCCTGCAACCAGAAGAAAACCAGAATAAAATAATGATATAAATATAAGCCCTTAAATAATTGTATACTAAAATGCCACCAGAGAGCAAAATTTCTTGCATAATTATGGCAGAGAAACTCTCCTTACAAATCACTCACAAGAGCATGCCGATTTTTGCACAATTCTCATGCCTGGGGCAGCCCTCCTCAGAGATGGAGTTTCTATGTCCCTGCAGGTTGGGAACTGTGATTACCCACTGGTACACTCTGTCTGCAAAGGAGGCTGTTAATAAAGGCTCATTGCCAGGGGCAATGAAAAAGCAGGCTGGCACTGCCAGGCCAAGGACCGCATCTCTTAGTAGATTATGTGCTGGTGGTGAGGGCCACTGTCACGAAGGTGCACAAACCAGCCCTGGCTGCTTCTGTGTCTTCCTCTATTTTTCTTTCCTGGTAGCTTTGCTTTTTCTATCTACTTGTCCATCTGTCTCTATACATATTTCTACATGCCCACCACCCTGCCACACACATACACAAGCACACACATATGCTCGTACACATGAGTGCACGAGCACACACACAGAGGCACACACACCCAATCTTGCCCCCGCCTTTCCCTGTCTCTTGGCACCGGCCCTTTCATCTTCTCCCTCGGGGATTCGAGATGTCGCTGCAGGAAATGCTTGTCCGCCGAGGCAGCAGCAGCAGAGCCCTGTGGCTTTGACAAACCTCATTTAATTGGGAGGAAGCCAGGAGAATTTGAAAGAACTGAAACATCCACGAAACTCCTTTTATCAGGCATAATTTAAACTCTGCATGGAAAAACCCCTATATGTATAAAGAAAAGTCAACTTCCCTCCTGCTGTGAGCACTCCTGGTCTCCCCCACTAGTGCAGGCAGCCTCCTGCAAGATTCCATCTTTTCATTTTTCTAAAAGTGTCAAAGTAGATTTGGGCTCTGTGACTGGGTGAACAGGGAAGGAATACAGATTGTTCTCTCTCTCTGTCTCTCATACATACACACACACCCGCACGCACACACATATACACACATACACACACAACCCTAGACATCCATGCACCAGGGCCCCTCTGTTGGTGGCTTTGCTTTTGGATCAGCCAGGAAAAATCAAAACCCACGTTTCTAACAACACATCAGTTTGGACAGTGAGTGTTTCTTCCTAATCAACCTGCGTCAGGCAAAAGTTGGAGCCTAGAAATCTTTGAAGATCCCCAGCAATTCTCAGCATGTGGAATAACAGATCCTAAAGGAGGGCCAATGGGGCAAGTTTCTTTAAGTGGAGAGAAGGGAGAGTGTGTGTGTGTGTACATCCAAGCGTGTACACTTGCATGAAGTAGTAGAGTTATAAGTCCCAAGCCTGAGAGGAGAAAGCTGAAAAGGAACAATCTAGAAGCTTGGACTGGGAAGAGGGGATTGGGATGGGAGTGGCCGGGGAGGAATGGGGCTGAAGTGGGGGCAGAGGTACCAGGAAGGGAGTGAGAATTGTGGATCTGCCTGCAATGTCTTTTGTTCCACCCATATGCTAACCCCTGCCTCTCTCCTCCTTCCAAATTCCACTTCAGATTCACCTCCAGTCTAATCCATCTCATTTGAATTATTCTTGTTCCTCCAAAGAATTGCCTTCAACACACACATAGTCTCTGCACATCTGCAGTTGATTATGCACAGATTTTTAGCTGTTTAGATATGATTTGTGCTGATATGTGTGCGAGGGTGCCCCGTTTCCTCTTCCTCGCCCTCTTTTCCTCCCACTTCGTAAGATCCTGGAGGCCAAGGACAAGTCTCTTGTTTTCCTCCACTTTTTATAGCACTTAATATGTTCTTGACACTTAATGGCAATTTAATAAATACTAATGACTGACTCTTTCTTCAGGGTTAAGTAAGACATTAACCTCAGTTGTATGATTATGGTTATTTTTGGAGATCCTAAATGACTCACTTTAGTCATAAAATAGAATGCCTCAACAAGTCCCAAACTAAGCGCTTTGGACTGCTGCAGGATGATGTCCTAGACACAGGGGAGCTGCGTCTGCAAACTCTGGCAAGGCGGACCAGGCTGTTTCCACACCTCTTGGGCAGTAGCTCCTCACCCTGTCCCCATCCTTATCTCACGGCACCCCATCACCACTTCCCCACATCCCTTCCAGTGTCCTCATCCCAGTCCCAGCCCTTAGGCCCTCCCTCCTAAGCTTTCTTTTCTCTGGCTTAGGACTTCTAAAACCAACCCTTGCTGCTTCTCTCTCTTCTTCTGTTTTACTTTCCTAGTAGCTTTGCTTTTCCTGTCTACTTGTCCCTTGTTCCTAAAACTATTTTTAGCTGAATGGTGGATTTTTTCAAATAAACCTCACCTAAGGATAGTCCCCCATGACCACTGCCCACATCCTCCTGTAACCCTTCCTGGCCACAGTCCGAGAAACATGACGGCAGTTCCAACCACATGATCCCTCAGCAGATTTCAGATTTGGAAGATGACTTCAGGCCCAGGCAGCAAAGGCTGATTCCAGGGTAACTTGTGTTTACAGGAGGTGGGTAGCCTGGGAGGAGGCCTCCCTTCCCCCAGCACCCCACCCCGGCACTGCCTTCTGCAGCTTGCTGTTACCAATCAAGAAAGGCCCAGCTCCCTCTCAGGACATATCCGCTTCACCTATCATCTTACTCTCTGCAGAAAGGGAGAAGAGTCTTGTTAGAAACACTGGTGTGGCTTCCTGGCAGATGGTAGCTAAGGCAAACAACTCAGAGACAACGTCCATCTCATCCAATTTCTGAGTGTAAATGTGTACCTGTGAAATGTCTGGACCATTACAAAGAGGTCCTTGTAACCTCTCCCCACCAGTGCTTCAGAGTTTGAGAGAAGCTCATGCAAAACTCAGACAAGATTGGGTCGTATCTTGCTTCTCCCAGGCAAATGGATCTTTAACTTCACTCCTGGGGGTAAATGCTATGATTCTCCAGTGCTGAGGCAAACTACTTAAGACACCAAGACTTACACACACACAGTCACGCACATGCACTCACGCACGCACACAGGCACACACTTCCTCGCTCACCATCGGGAAGCTGGTACAGCTGAGATGGCAGGGCACTGAAATAATCGTGAACGAGTGCTTCCTGGGCGGAGACGCGGTCTCTGGGAAAGCCTTTCAGCATCTGGGAGGCCAGGTCTTCAGCTTCAGGAACCCTGCCCAGCCTGGAAAAGTGGGGGAGAAAAATAGAGTTTCTCCAGCAGCCTCCCTTCTGGAAAACAAAGGGAGAAAAACAAAAAGTAAAGAAAAGGAGATGGCTAGACTTAGATTTTAAGTAGAATTTTCCTGGAATTGCTAAAATTGATGGCAAGTGGAAAAGTAACCCCCATACTAAACTCTGACTGACTGTCCTGTTACTAAGTTGAAGGAGAAAAATCTTCTCATTCTATCACTCAGCTCCCCTGCCCTCCACCGTGTGTCTGGGCACCATGGACACATAAAAGACACAGAAATATATTATAAACAGAAATATGTAGTAATATATATTATTATAAACAGAAATATAGAATCAAGGATTCTTTTTGGAGGAACACTGCAGCCCAACCAAGTAGAAAGGCTTGATTCAAAATATGATCGAACTCTGAGAGGCTGAGGCAGGCAGATCACTTGAGGCCAGCAGTTCGAGACCAGACTGGCCAACATGGTGAAACCCTGTCTCTGTTGAAAACATAAAAATTAGCTGGGTGTGGTGGCGTGCACCTGTAATCCCAGCTACTCAGGAGGCTGAGGCATGAGAATTGCTTGAGCCTGGGAGATAGAGGCTGCAGAGAGCTAATATTGCACCACAGCACTCCAGCCTGGGTGACAGAACAAGACTCTGTCTCAAACAAACAAACAAACAAAAAAACATGTTTGAGGCTCTGGACTCCAAGGGTGGCAAGCACAGAAATCTGGAGGGGAAAAGCACAGAATTCTAAAGAGGTGATTCTGGAGGGTGAAGTTTGGGTAGAAAATACACTTGTTTGCAGTATTTCTGAAGCTCAGCCAGGCTTATTAGCTAGAAAACTCTCTTGGTTCCCCTGAGATGGAGCAGAGGAAGAGAAATAATTAAGTACTTAAATCACAGTAAGGATAAATCCTCAAGTTGACCTTATGTTGAAATATATATCTGGAGATGAGCAAATTCATTTATTGAGCAACTACTCTGTGCTAGTAAGTGGTTGGCTTTGGGAGACACAGGACAAGACTGTCTTCTGGCAGCTCAGATAGAGGAGTCAGATGTTCATCAAATTATCACACAGATGTCTAAGTACAACTGTGAAGAAAAGAATCCTATGGTCTGACTGTTTGTATCTCTCCAAAATTCAAATTTATGTTGAAACCTGATTACCAAAGTGATAGTATTAGAAAGTGGGAACGTTGGGAGGTAATTGGGTTATAAAGGAGGTTTGAGAGAGCCCTTTTGCCCTTTCTGCCCTGTGTAGACACAGTGAGAAGGTGCCATCTGTGAAGCAGAGAGCTCTTGCCCAACACCTAAGCTGCTGGCACCTTGGTCTTGGTTTTCCCAGGCTTCAGAGCTGTGAGAAATACATTTCTATTAATTGGCAATTACCCAGTTAAGGTTAGTTATAGCAGCCCAGGTATAACATTTTGGTTCTCCTGAGATGGAGCAGAGGCAGAGAGATAATTAAGTACCTGAATCACAGTAAGGACAAATCCTCAAGTTGATCTTTTTTTAAGGGTTAAGATAGCCTCAATACCTGACCTAGAATGGGAAGAGGTGGTCAGGAAAGGATTTCTTGAGGAAGTGGCATTTGAGCTGAGAGTTGAAGAAAGGAGGGCAGGCAAGAGGCAGGCCTTGCTGACAGGGATCTGTGGTACCCATACAGACCCTAGAGTGGGAGGGAGAAGCCAGAGTTTAAAGAAGGGAATCAGGCCACTTGGCTGGCCCAGGACAAAAATGGGGAGAGAGGCCTGACATGAAGCTGGGGAGAGTGGCTTGTGGGTCTTCATGTTTCCTATTTACTTACAATGCTTGAAAGTCTTTGCTAATCTAATGCCAATCATTTACGTACACCCAACTCCACAACACACACAGAGGTTTATAACTGGAAAGGCACAAGAGGGAAAACTGCACATCCCAGAGGACAGCTGCTCATGGGACTGATGTCTGACATTCAGAATTAAGTTGTGTGGCCCCGAAACACCACAGCAAATCCCCAGTTAAGCAGATATAGATGGGCTTGCTTAATTTCAAATACACCTACCGACTTAAAGCAAGAAAGATCAGATATTCTTTCCCTTCCAGGTGCTACAATGCAGAGATGCTGGAAGTCCTGGCCCAGAATTGTAATTTACCTAATTTTTGCATAAGATTTGCATAACAAATTTGGGCTATTTGATTCCCAAGACACGAAACTGTTTCTGCAAACAGATAACCACCTTCAAACTCAGGAGTAATTACTTCATAGACAAGATAGAGAAGAAATTTGCAAATTTCCAAATCCTTGCAAATTTCCAGGCCAGTTAGGAGAAAAAGGAATCGGGTAGAAGTCTACTCATTTGCTGTGGCTTGAAGAAGGTCTGGCAGATATATTCCTCATCCAGTCATCCAGGGCATCCTGTCCAGCAGAGGTTTTGTTTTTTTTTCCTTTTGAACATAAACTCAAGATTTTATTGTCTTCACAATAAAAGGTGACACTTAGAACTGGATCACTTGGCCCTCTCTCTTCTTAACCCCGCCCAGTTCAAAATGCTTGCATCTTTTAATAGCCAGCATTCTCTTAGATCTGCAGTTGGGTTCAACACACTCAAGCCTTAGCACAATCTTCTTTGTAGTTTTAGCCTTTTTCCGGAAAATCGGCTTACTTTGCCCACCATAGCCACTCTGCTTCCTGTCATACCGCCACTTTCCCTGGGCATACAGAGAATCCTTGCCCTTCTTGTACTGTGTCACTTTGTGCTTGCCACACTTCTTACAGAAAGGATTGGTGCTTGCCACACTTCTTACAGAAAGTCCAGCGGGTTTTAGGGACATTAACCATGCTTGCGTGAGCGCTATCGGCACAGAAAGCAGGCAGAGCTTTTTTAGGGCCCATGAAATGGAGGTTTGGAAGAAGAATGTTAGTACAAATCACTAGAGCCTAGGATTCAGCTGGAAGGAGACTCGGGTAATCTCATGAACAAATTTTAGCTGGTCCACCCACACTATTGGGTGGTATGGTGAAGTTTGTGCCAAAATTGGGCCCTGAATCCAGTTTCTGCAGGCTTCACGCTTTCTGGTTAAATACTAACTTCTGGACATGGGGAGAGCAGGTAGGTGGTGAGAAGCAATGCATCTATTAGCTTCCACCTCCACAGTCCCACCCCAATCAGCGATTTGTTCTCTCGCATACTCCCCCAACATTAACCCATAACAGGTGGCTCCTGAACTGCCCTGTAGTGGGGGCTGAGGGGCTACAGTCTGATTGGACAGGGAAGGCTGGGAGACCGGTTTTAAACTTGTGTTAGCATGGCAGATATATTGTTTTTACTTAGACTGTGTTTATGTAGTGTCTGGGGAATCCAAGAAAGGCTAATGGAGCTTACAGGGGTATTAGGGGCACCCTTTTTCTTATAAGAACAGGTTATTTGGCCAAGTGCTGTGCCTCATGTCTGTTATCCCAACACTTTGGGAGGCTGAGGTGGGAGGATCGCTTGAGCCCAGGAATTTGAGACCAGCCTGGGCAACATGGTGAAAACCCATCTCTACCAAAAAGTACAAAAATTAGCCAGGTGCGGTAGCATGCACCTGTAGTCCCAGCTACTCCGGGGGCTGAGGCGGGAGAATCACCTGAGCCCAGGAGGTCGAGGCTGCAGTGAGCCATGATTGTGCCTCTGCACTCTAGCCTGGGTGACAGAACTAGACACTGCCTCAAAAAAACAAAATAAGAACAGGTTTTTGTTTTTGTTTTTTTAAAACCAGGTGAATGAATAAAAGAAGAGTAGGTACTAATCAGTGACACAAGGACCTCTTTTTTAGGATTTTCCATTTCAACCAAGAGAACCTACCCTCACCCTCCCCACAGGGTTGTTTCAGGGCTTCTGGTAGTTTCTGGACTTGTTCTAGTCTCACAGCCTCTGAACTATGACTGCTGCACATTGCTTCTTCTTCTCCTTCGCCGGCAGAGGTGGTCACCAGGGCAAAGTGGGCAGGTGAAGGCTCTTCCTCCTAGGAGCCAAGTGTGTGTCGGTCCCCCCTGTACAAGCCAACTCCACCCCACATGAACACAAACCTTCACTGGCAGCACTAGTAGCAGGACCATTGGCAAGCGCCTCAGTGATTGCCGCCTTGCTATGGCACATTGAGCTCTTTTTGCAAGGCTGAGAAAAGAGTCCTGGGGGAACAAATGTTGCTTTTTGGGCGCAAATGATTTACTGACATCTTCCGTGTTTGTATCATCATGCTTTTTCCTGTCACCTATGGCCTTGCTTGCTACCAATTGCCATTACTCTCATAGTTGTACACATGGCTACCACCTCTAACTTCCACTGGAACAATTATCCACTGGTTACAAGCCCTACTTTAAAAATAAACATTGGCATATAAAAAATGAACATCACAAATGTTAATTTGCCTACCAGCACCTTTCCGTATAAGCTAAATGTGAATTCCTACTCTTAGGTTTGTGATGTTAACTACCAAACATGCCAGGAGTATCTTGCAGAAGTAGGAAAACCCACCCATCTAATTAATGAGAATCTGCTATTAAAGATAAAGAATCCTATGATAAATCACTCCTTCTAGTAACATTTCAAGAGGTGAGAATGTTCCAATGCCAAAATAATTCATACTTATTGCAGAGTACTTATTGAGAAGGAAAATTATGACTAGCCCTTCACTCTGAGATAATCCTCTTTACTCAAAGATAATCACCATTGCTTGAGGTCTTTGTTTTCTTCAGTCCTTTGCTTTTAGACAGGTATAGTTTTTGTTTCACAAAAATGGGTTCATACTATACATGCTCTTATAACCTACTTTTTCCATTTAACTACCTTGATCATCTTGCCATAACTTTGAATCACTTTCTAGGACATAATTTTACTGGCTGTTATCATTCGATTATGTAGGCATACCATAATTTACAGAGCTAGATTCCTATCTGAGTTGTTTCCTCTATTGTTGGGATGGAGGTAGTACTATTAAAATCATGCTGTAACAAATATTCTCAAAGAGAAATCTTTGTGGGTTTGTGTAATATTTCCTTAGGATAAATTCTTAGAATTGATGTTCCTTGGTTGAAGGATATATACAACACGTTAAAGTATTTGATTCATACTATCAGCTAGAAGAGCTGTAGATTCATACTATCAGCTAGAAGAGCTGTAGATTCATACTATCAGCTAGAAGAGCTGTAGATTCATACTATCAGCTAGAAGAGCTGTACCAATTTCCATTTCTGCCAGCAGCCTAAGAGAGTGCTCATCCCTGTGGGCAAGGATAATAAATTCATTCCAACCCACCTGAATTGCCACAGGCCCCATTGCTTATAAAAGTCATAAAAATAATTAAAATTGTATATCAATCCTAAAAGATGTGCTGGGGGCCAGGACGGCTACATGTAATCTTACAAGTCCAGAATAGAAACACAAACAATAAGAAAAAATGAAAATTGAGTTTTGTGACTGTGTAAAACACCATCTACTAACCATCTACTAACCATCTACTAACTCCATAATTCTAAAATCTGGTTGTTCTCAGGGGTCTGGGACAGCAGTTTTGATTTCCTAGCACAGCCTGGCTCTGAGTATAAAAGTCTCCCACTCACAGCACTGCCACTGACCTCCGAGGTACAGGACAGGCTGGTCAGTATGAGCTCAAGTGGGTTCTTTGGTTTTCCCCCTAGACCTACAGGAAGAGGAACAGGGCAGGGAGAGAGTAGGCACTTTTTAAATGTTCTCAGTTTGGGATGTAGTAGATGCCCACAGTAAGAAATATATCCAATACTAGGAAGAAACATTGCAGAAGCTGTCCTACAATTTACCAATCAATCTAAAGAGTGAGTGCGCGGTGGCTCAAGCCTGTAATCCCAGCACTTTGGGAGGCTGAGACGGGCGGATCACGAGGTCAGGAGATCGAGTTCATCCTGGCTAACACGGTGAAACCCCGTCTCTACTACAAAATACAAAAAAATAGCCGGGCGAGGAGGTGGGCGCCTGTAGTCCCAGCTACTCGGGAGGCTGAGGCAGGAGAATGGCGTGAACCTGGGAGGCGGAGCTTGCAGTGAGCTGAGATCCGGCCACTGCACTCCAGCCCCGGCGACAGAGCGAGACTCCGTTTCAAAAAAAAAAAAAAAAAAAAGAGTGAGTGCGTACCTACTAGGCCCACATTAATTAGATCACCATCAAACCTCAAGCAAGCCCTGGGGATTCATCTGCAGGCCTGTGAATGGTTCCACCACACCTCTGTAGGGATTGTGTAGAAAAGCCAGTGGCACTTTGGCTGCTTGTTACTCGCCACATCTGCAACCTGATTCAACAGCCAAATCCACAGAGACCCGGGTACCAGATGAACCCTGGCTCTACCACTTACTTAGTTGGACTAACTTGGCCAAGTTACTTAACTTCTCTCAGCCTCAGTTTCCTCCTCTTTGACCTGGGAACGACATCCGTAAGGATTAAATGTAATAATATATGTAGCACCCTGCTAGGTACATAGTATATATCCCATCTAATATTAACCCTTTCACAGAGCCCTTCCCAGAGCCAAGAATTTTCCCATGTGATAATCTAGGCTAATGCTGCCAATGGAATTTTCCATGATGATGCAGATATTCTATTTTTGCTCTGTCCAATATCATAGTCACTACTCCAATGTGGCTACTGAGTCCTTGGAATGCAGCTAGTGCAACATAACTGAATTTTATTTTTTTATTTTTTTATTTTTTTATTTTTTATTTTTTTGAGACGGAGTCTCGCTCTGCCACCCAGGCTGGTGTACAGTGGCCGGATCTCAGCTCACTGCAAGCTCCGCCTCCCAGGTTTATGCCATTCTCCTGCCTCAGCCTCCCGAGTAGCTGGGACTACAGGCGCCCGCCACCTCGCCCGGCTAGTTTTTTGTATTTTTTAGTAGAGACGGAGTTTCACCGGGTTAGCCAAGATGGTCTCGATCTCCTGACCTCTTGATCCGCCCGTCTCGGCCTCCCAAAGTGCTGGGATTACAGGCTTGAGCCACCGTGCCCGGCCTCATAACTGAATTTTAAATGTAAGTAAATTAAAAGTTAAACAGTCATATGTGGCTAGTGGCTACTGTATTAGACAACATACCTCTAAACACCTCTAAACATTACTTCCCTTTTTTTTTTTTTTTTTTTTTTTTGTGACGGAGTCTTACTCGGTCTCCCAGACTAGAGTGCAGTGGCACGATCTCAGCTCACTGCAACCTCTGCCTCCCGGGTTCAAGCGATTCTCATGCCTCAACCTCCTGAGTAGCTGGGACTATAGGCACATGCCACCATGCTCGGCTAATTTTTTGTATTTTTAGTAGAGATGGGGTTTCACCATGTTGGCTAGGCTGGTCTTGAACTCCTGACCTCAGGTGATCTGCCCACCTTGTCCTTCCAAAATGCTAGGATTAACAGGTGTGAGCCACCAGGTCCAGCCTGGACATTACTTCCTGCATTAAAGATCTGAGCAGAGAAGCCAGAAGTCTGAGAAAAGGTGAATACATATTGCCAGGGGACAAGGGAAGGGGCAGAGGCCATGGGTGCTATAGCGTCAGAAAAGCCAGAGAGGTATTCAGAGAATTCAAGCCTTGCTCAGCCCTGGAAAGAAAGGCTGGTGGGGTGATAGCAGGAGGCTGGTGAACTATCTTCTGCCACGGGACAGGGGCAGCTGCAGCAGCAGCATGGAGTAGTAAGATGGTTCTCAGGTTGAGAGTTGCCATTTACTTTGGAAGCTGATAGTGACATGAAAGAAAGCCACAGGGCAGTACTGAAATCCACATATCTCTAGATAGAGAGGAGGGAGCCTGACTATACTGTTCAAAAGAACATTTGCACGTCGTGAATGAAGTGATAAACAGCAGTTCCCTAGTACCTGTCTCCAAAATAAAGGGGAGTTTCAGGTTATACAGCATTTTTGAAAATAAGAGTGGAGGGTGCAGATGTCCTGGAGAGACCTGTCCCTCCCAGTGAAAGATCCTCTGGTAGTCCACAGTTCTATGTTCCCTACCTATTTTACTCTTCGTACCCTGAAATTTACTCGACGTGGAGGCTTTTTAAAGGAGATGAACAGTAAGAATGAAGAATTCAAACAACTTTTGGTTAAGTTAAATTCTACCATATTTTCAGGGAAAAACAATGTTCAAGTGTTCAGTCAGGATCTTGGCCAGTGAAACTCTTCCACTTCTCCCCACCTGCAAGAGTGTGTTTTTCTTTGACATTTGAGCTCGTCTCCCCTGTCTCTGATGTTTTCCTCACTGCCCTTTTTGCCTCCTCACTGAAGCAAAAAGAACAGAGCCTCGGCTAATTACTCTCAGATCAAATAATACTGGTTATTGTAATTGGTCATTGTCCGAAAACACTGAGTTCTTCTTAGCCCGGAGGTTGCCTGGCACAGCTTAGTTAGCTAACTATTCCCGGAATGTCTCTATTATCTGTTTTACTTTGCAAAAGAAACTAGGGATTTGTTGAAAGCTGGTAATAAAAGTCTGCCCTGGTCTGAGCCGAGACTGCGTAGAGAGGGCCTGGGAAAGCATGACCCCCATGAATCAAGTTGCCCCCCCCTCCAATAGCCACTCAATGATGTTATTTGGTTTCTCTGTGTCAGAGAATAATAAACCCACTAGGTTTTCTTGCAGACCAACACTCCCTGTTCTCAGGGCCTGGGGCATGGCTGAGGGACACAAAACAATTTTAATGACCAAACTCACTGAAAGTAAAATGGTTCATAGAGAAAAACTAACAGACTGGCAGGGGTCTGGGGCTCCCAGAGGCATCTTCCTACAGCTTAGAGCCCCCACATGGAAGTGCTCAGGGGCTGCTGTTCAGTGGACTGAGATCCAGGGAAATGCCTCTCCAATCCTGCTTAACGATCTCTTCCTGAGGTAGTACTCACCTGTTCCAGACAACGTGAAGGCTTCGAGGCGTAGGCAGCGGGAACCATTCTGGGAAGCATACAGACGGCGTTAAAAAATAAAATCAACCCGAAAACCCTGTTGCCAAATATACTGTTAAAATTCTAAATGCTCTTCTTGGCTTGGTGTAAAAAAAGGATTCAAGCATCAGGTAGGCTACCGTGATTTTTAAAGCCTCATCTCCTGCTGAATTTTTATGATTTGGTGAAAGGTCACTATTATGGGTAGAATTATGTGCTCTCAAAATTCACATGTTGAAGTCCTAACCCCAACTACTTTAGAATATGATCTTATATGGAAATAGGATCGTTGCATATGTTATTAGTTAAGATGAAAGCACTAGGGTGGGCCCTAATGCAATTTGACTCGTATCCTCCTAAAAAGGCAAAATGTGGACCGAGAAATAGACGTGCATCAGAGAAGGTGAAGTGAAGAGACTCAAGGAGAAGATGACCATCAGCAAGCCAAGGAGAAAGACCTGGATCAAACTCTCCCTCACACCCCTCCCAAGGAGCCAACCCTGCCAACACCTCAGTTTCAGACTTCCCAGTCTCCAGAACTGTAAGATGATACATTTCTGTTGCTTAAACCACCCAGTCTGAGACTTTGTTACAGCAACTCTAGCAAACTAATACAGTCAACATATTCAGTAAAGTCAGCAAACATTTGTTTAACATATACTGTGTGCAGAGCATGTACCAAGTGCTGGGTACAAAACACATCGAAAGAAACCCCACTACTTCTGCAGAGCTTACAATTCATTTGGGAGAACAAGTATATGTGCGTGAAATGTGATGAATAATGAGGCAGTCTTAAAGACTCAAAAGTGGTTTAAAAAAAAAAAAAAAAAAAAAAAAGTCAGGGGAGCCAGGCACGGTGGCTCTTGCCTGTAATCCCAGCACTTTGGGAGGCCCAGGCTGGAGGATTAGTTGAGACCAGGAGTTCAAGACCAACCTGGACAACATAGTGAGACCTGTATCTACAACAACAACCGAGCCTGGTGGCATGCGCTTTTAGTCCCAGCTACTTGAGAGGGTGAGGTGGGAGGATCACTAACCTGGGAGGTTGAGGCTACAGTGAGCTGTGATTATGACACTCACTCCAGCCTGGGAGACAGAGCAAGACCCTGTCTCAAAAAAAATAATAATAATAAAAATAAAAAATAAAAAAGTAAGGGGAACTAATTTTGTATGTCACTTGTGGAAAAAATGGAAGTGAATCCTGGCTTGAATATTCCAAAATAGGTGATAATAAAAATTGGAGCACTCTATAACAGTTATATTTGGGTGTATGTGTTTCTATGATTCTTAGTATTGATACCATTTAACCCAAACAAAAACCATCCTAAAAGGGAATGATTTCTCATTCACTCAAGAAATACTAACTGAATTCTTCTTCCATGTAAGGACTGTAAGAGGAGCTGCAGGGGAGGCAAGCTGATGGATGCTCTTCATCAAATTTCCTCCATTGTCCACTCCAAATTGAAAAAGAATATTTTAACTCTCATTCAAAATGGTATTTCTGCCTTATATTTTTCTTGGGCCTGAAATGTAATTATTTTGTTTATTAGTTTGTTTAGAGACAGGATCTTGCCCAGGCTGGTGAGTACACTAGCATGATTATGGCTCATTGCAGCCTGGAACTCCTGGCCTCAAGTGATTCTCCCATCTCAGCTTCTGGAGTAAAAAAAAAAAAATTATTTAGAGATGGGAGTCTCACTTTTCTTTTTGTCCAGGCTGGTCTTGAACTCCTGGCCTCAAGTGTTCCTCCCATCTTAGCCTCCCAAAGTGCTCAGATTACAGGCATGAGCCAACGTTCCCAGCCATTATTTTGGTTTTAAAAATCTCTTCCTCCAGTTCCTATATAAATGGAATAAACCAAGATTGTTTATCACAACAAAGAATTTAATTATGGTTGGCCAAAAATTAATTTGATAATACTCATGTGTTCATGTTGGCATGCATATAGATCTGGAAGGCTACTCACTAGATAGTGGTGGTGGTTACGGGGCTTACCCTTTTTCCTTCGTTGCCCATTTTCTCAAACATTTTTGAAATAAAGCATATACAATATTATTTTGCAATTTCAAAAGGAACTTCAATGAAAATTTGAATTTATAGTGCTAAGAGTTGTAGAGTGAAAGGAGTGATCAAAGTGACTTCAACTGAGTTTTCAAGGGCAGGTGCAATCAAATGTGAACCTCTCTGCTGGCATTTTATAGTGCCAGGTGGGCACTAAGGGAAGTACTTGTCTAGGTTATTTACTCTCTGTTCAGTATTATTTTGCCTAAGTTCAAAATAACCAGTAAAGATAAGAATATCTGGCATTTGTTTAGTATGTTTCTCTTCAAACCACTTTCTGCTGCCTATTTACAGCTCTTCCCTGGCCAAACAAAATCAAAATATTTCCTCATTCAGTCATCTCCCAGTTTCAATCAACAAAATGAAATCCATTTCCATCCTTTCCCATTTTCCATTTTTCCCTTCTGAGAGGTCTATGTGTTGTGTTTTTGGCCTTCAATATTTTAATACTCTTTCTAACTTGAGTGGTGTTCTGTGGCATGGGGGTTGGAGGTTAGCTGACTTAGGGTTTGAATATGGACTCTGCTGCTTCAGTTTTGCTGAGACCTCATTTAAGATACTTTGACCATCCACGGCAACCTTCAGTTTTCTTTCTTTTTTTTTCTGATTTTTTTAAATTTTTTTTTTTTTTTGTACTTTAAGTTCTAGGGTGCATGTGCACAACATGCAGGTTTGTTACATATGTATACATGTGTCATGTTGGTGTGCTGCACCCATCAACTCATCATTTACATTAGGTATTTATCCTAATGCTATCCCTCCCCTTGCCCCCTACCCCACAATAGGCCCCAGGGTGTGATGTTCCCCGCCCTGTGTCCAAGTGTTCTCATTGTTCAATTCCCACCTATGAGTGAGAACATGCGGTGTTTGGTTTTCTGTCCTTGCGATAGTTTGCTCAGAATGATGGTTTCCAGCTGCATCCATGTCCCTTGCAAAGGACATGAACTCATCCTTTTTTATGGCTGCATAGTATTCCATGGTGTATATGTGCCACATTTTCTTAATCCAGTCTATCATTGATGGACATTTGGGTTGGTTCCAAGTCTTTGCTATTGTGAATAGTATCACAATAAACAATACGTGTGCATGTGTCTTTACAGTAGCATGATTTACAGTCCTTTGGGTACAGACCCAGTAATGGGATGGCTGGGTCAAATGGCATTTCTAGTTCTAGATCCTTGAGGAATCCCCACACTGTCTTCCACAATGGTTGAACTAGTTACAGTCCCACCAACAGTGTAAAAGTGTTCCTATTTCTCCACATCCTCTCCAGCATTTGTTGTTTCCTGACTTTTTAATGATCGCCATTCTAACTGGTGTGAGATGGTATCTGTGGTTTTGATTTGCATTTCTCTGATGGCCAGTGATGACGAACATTTTTTCATGTGTCTGTTGGCTGCATAAATGTCTTCTTTTGAGAAGTGTCTGTTCATATCCTTTGCCCACTTTTTGATGGGGTTGTTTGATTTTTTCTTGTATATTTGTTTAAGTTCTTTGTAGATTCTGGATATTAGCCCTTTGTCAGATGGGTAGATTGCAAAAATTTTCTCCCATTCTGTAGGGGCAACCCTCCATTTTCTCAATGCAAATTGAAGGTGGTATTCACCTCGCAAGGATCCTGAAGCAAACCAGTGACATAATGAGTGCAAAATGCCTGCTCTGGACCATTAAACAAAATAAATCCTATTTGCTTTTCCTTCCTCTTTCCCTTTCTTTGAAAAGTTATGGGCAGTATAAACAATGCGTGGCCAGGCACTTGGATCCAGGACCCGGGTAAACCCACACAATGCCTCTGACCAGCTGTGTGACCTGAAGATATTCCTTAACCTCACTGGGCCTCAGTTTTCTCACCTGCAGAAGGGGGATAGTAATAGTTCCTACTGCATAGGGTTGTGAAACTAGGATGGTAAATGTAATATAAATATTTCTTCACTCTTTGTCTTTTCTTTTCCTGCTTCTCTCCCTTTCTGATATAACATCCCCCTCTCTCCCACTCAGGTGTTTCTGCCTTATTGTTAGTTCTCCTTGGAAACCTTCTCTAAATGTCTTCTACTAAAATTCTAACTTGCTCCAAGCCCCAGTTCCTCTAAGTCTGACTTGATTTCTTCTGAGTCCTCAATGTGGGTCAGTGGCGTGTTTCTTAGCTTGGTAGTATGGTAACATGAACACAAGCCCAAGCTCAAGTCTCCTTTTTGCCACTTACAAGCTTTGAGACTTTAGGGAAATTGCTTAGCCTCTCTGGTTAAATAATTGAGAAGTTTCCAAATCTGTAAAATGGGAATCATTTTCCAGTTGCTGGGAAAATTACGAAAGATTAAGCACATGGCCTGTAGCAGGGCCTCAGTAAGTGTTAATCTCATTCCTTTTCTTCTTTTGGTTTTGACCTCTCATTTTGGAGAGGTAGGTTCTCAAGGGGAGCTGCATACTGGCATTGCCTGGAAACTTTTACGAGAAAGGAAGCCCTGAGGTTTGATTCAACTAGCCTGGGAAGGGTCCAGACATTGGTTACTTATTGTACTGTTATTACGAGTTTCTTCTGGTTTTTGAAAGACGTTCTCATTCTGTTGCCCAGGCTAGAGTGCAATGGCATGAGCATGATCATGGCTCACTGCAACCTTGACCTCCCGTTCTCAAGCCATTCTCCTGCCTTGGCCTCCTGAGTAGTTGGGACCATAAATGCACACCACCACTTCCGGCTAATTTTTAAAAATGTTTGTAGAGATGGGGTCTCCCTATGTTGCCCAGGATGGTCTCATACTCGGGTATCCAGCAGTCCTCCAGCCCCAGCCTCCCGAAGTGTTAGGATTACAGGCATGAGCCACTATGCCTGGCCTGTTATTATGTCTTCAATGGTTCAATGGTCTCCAGAATTTTCCAGTGAGGAGCTAAAACAGAGGATCTTTGGTCTAGCAAAGAGGGCAGGGTCTATCACTCACCAGCAACTCAACA